GTTCACTTTCCGCTTTCATCATCTACACCTATTTCAACGAACTGAAGGATAATCAGAACGAAACCCTGAATGGAAATATTACTCGGGTACGTCGTCCGCTGTCTAGGCATCTATCCACAAATCAAAGAGATCGTATCGTTTCAGTACCACTTCGGCTGGGCGTACTATTGGTGCGGAGGTGCAGCCGCCTGTCTATCAGCTGCATTCATCTGCAGTCTATTCGCTTCAACTTGTGTGTTGTTGCACAAGCAACAGAAGAACAAAGTCGACACCATCGTTCTGTGATCATTCGCTTACATACGAACTTTCTGACCATGAGCTGTTTCTCCTTAGGTTGCGTTCATACTTTGCGTCAGCGTCCATCAGCGACCACCAGCGCCAGCGACTAGGAAAGTATAGGTATCTACCTAGCGAAGTTATCTATCCAGCGTCTACTAACGACTAGGAAACTATGGATATCAATCCGGTGAACGCCAGCGTCCACCAGCGTACAGCAACGTTTTCGCGGGCACCTTTGCACATGAGCTACATTGCCCGCGAAAACGCTGCTGTACGCCGTGGACGTTGGCGTTTACCGGATCGATATCCATACTTTCCTGTCGCAAGTAGACGCTGTCAAACGCTCAAAACGCTGGTGGAGGTTGACGCAAACATGAACGCAGCCCTACCGCTCACTTATTTCACTTTGTGCAGTTGTTACTTTGTCATATCACAAGGCTTAATTATGCCCAATAATTCTGTCTAGCCAGATGATTCAACATTCCGAGTGGTCTGGGTTTCTTCCCTTAATCCGAATCCACTACTGTTCCCAAAGCACAATACTATTTGTTGTAAAAATAGAACAGAAATATTTATGCAAAAAAACGATTGACAGCACAGAGATTTTTTTTCAAATAGTATAACAAGACAATAAGCGTGAAACAGATGATAGGATATAAGATGAAACCCGAGATAGAGTCGATAAAACAACAACAGCATCTGGTCGTTACAGTAGAAAGCTACATTTGAACTAAAACAATGACTAGCGCCGGTCATGAGAGTGCATGAGAGCAGCTGCTTTACCAAATAATTTTAGCCCTTGGTCTTCTCACTGCTCTTCTAGTTGGTCTTCTTAGCAGCTTCAACTTTCTTGCTCGCCTTCTCTTTTTCGTGCTTATCCGTCAGGTGTTCTTCATTATAATTCCACAGCTCCTGAACTCAACTCATTGCATGCAGCGATCATTTGACGATTTGTTTCTGTGATCGATATTACTACACAAGCCTGGTGATAGTTTGCCGCTACCCTACCTCAAGCATAGGTGTTAATGGTACCTTTAATAGCTTTCCCACCAACGCTAGCTGAATCAATCCCATTTGAATGCACATTCCAAGAACTTAGACAACATTCAGCCTTCGCGATGACGCGCTGTAACGCGCGTCAACGCGCCACCATTGCACTCCTCATATAAAACCGCGTTCACACACAACAACTTCACAGTCTGTGAAATTGGGGGAAAACGGGATGTATCTGTGAAATTGGGGAAAAACGGGATGTATACGTTCTAGTCAGATTCTATTTGCACAGTCCAGAGGAATTTGCAGATTCCGCGAAATCGCCCTTTCTCCTAATGCGCCACATGGGAGCAGCTGAACGAACGACCAAGTCCTATCAAGTTCTCGTCACCGATTTCGGCATTTCTGCAGATTCTGCAACTTCGCAAGTCGTCATTTTTTTCGAATAGAAACGCTATGCTCCGTCTTCTGCAGATTTTTCAATGTCGTAACGTTCAGTCTGCGGATGCTGGGGAGTGCCAGGGGTCTGAGGTTGGCGCGGCGGCATCCCATTTCCACCAATCGTTTTCGCTTTCCCGCTCAAAAACTGATGGAGAACGAGTCGTCGGGTGCCAAAGTACATCCTCCTATCCACTTTATCCCCAGACACGACCCTACATCCGCAGCTAACGAGAATGAACGAACGCGGCCCAACACTGACAACCCAAACACGAGACCCTTTTTGTAAGTTTTACCATGTACCCTAAAATCCCATAGATAAGAGCGGTTTAATTTACCGGTGAAAAATGAATTGGAATGAAATTGAAATTGAATGCAGTCACCCCTCTAACTTGATGGATGGATAAATAAAAATCGGAGAAGAAGTTTAGAAGAAGCTCCGCCCCTCAACTCTAAACCCCGCCCACTTAATAAACAATTCATATAGAAAAATAGCGAAGAATAGAATCATATAGAATCATATAGAAAAAAAGAGTATAGAAAACAGTAAGAATAAAGGTAGAGTTGTAGGCTATTATTGCGATAATCATGAGCACACAACGCCAAAAAAACGTATACAAACGTCAATTTTCATTTTCTAGCACAAACCGCTCTTATCTATGGACCGCTCTTTATCTATGGAGTTTTACCATGTAATTTAAAAAAACCCCATTCGTTTCAAAACCTTTGCACCGATCCAGTCGACAAAATAAACGAACCTTTGACTCTCCAGTGCATAGCGACACAAACAGCGGCACAAACAGACAACATGGCACTAAGTACAACAACGCTGGCTGCGCAGCCTGCAATGCAGTAGATAATTCTGAAACAGAGGCTCAATTATTAGACCAACAAACCTTAAAATGGTGCATAACCAACATGGTAATTAGAAGACCAACTGCATAGGCTATAACCGTGATAGAGAAGAAGTACCTAAACAGAAACATGCCGACAAAAAATATCGAAACCCCGTAAATGATATGAAGCTGGTTTTCTTTTTCTCACCGTCCCCCTTGTTTCTTTTTGGCGTCCTTGTCGCCTATCCTAAGGTCGAATCTTCTAAGAAGAGCTATAAATATTCCAGGAATAACAATATCGCCGAGACCTGGAAAGGAAAATTGAACGGTTTTCGAGCACGAATTGCCTACGTCATGAAAAACTCCTAAATGACAGTAAATACATTCTGGGATCCTACCTAGCATGCTATGCTTGCTAGCGTCTTTCCATCCGTGTCTGAGAAGGTCCTGAGGGAATTGCAGAAGAATTGGTGCATCAATCCCCTTGGCAACCGAAGTCATTACGTCTGTAGCGAATACCCAAAAGACATCGTAGATGAACAATCCAACCAGAAGAAGAGATCCGGCCTGAAACGGGTTGTTGCATGGTCGGAAACAAAGTGAGAATTCTAGTACGTCAAAATTTCGCCAACCTTAAAGCTACTTAGATGCAGGTTTTCTATTCCATAAATGGAGAACGCTATTCCAATTACGTTATTTGTGATCCAATGTCGCTGATATAGATGAGAAGCAGCTACTAGTAGACAAACCGAGATCGCAACTATGTCATGAGTGTCCACTTCGATTTTTAGCATGTATTCCTGAAATTAGGCACGTTTAAGGTATCCCATCAGAAGGTTGCGGTTCACTAACAAATGCATCCGGATTTTACCATTAACATACCACTTTGCGTGGAAGTAAAGCTTGAGCTTATAATCATGCTAAACCATATAAAGAGGTGGAACAGGAAGTGATTATCATAGGTCGAATGTACAATGAGCATATTACATAGCAGTGCATTTTCTTTCACATATTTCAAGCCTCGACTGGTATCCCCCATCTGTTCTGTACTCCACTTTTTTTCGGTGTCTGAAGTACCCTTGAGCTATTTTACAGATTTTTCGCCTGACTCCGCCCACCTCAGAGCAGGCCCCGTCTCCAATTTTTGTGCCCCACAATTCCCACCGGCGACCCTCTGCTGACCTG